ATTTAACACTACCATTTTTTACTTTGTTGTTGAAAATCTTTCAACTTTGGACATTAGGGGCTCCTTCAACATGGCTCCAATGTTCTTTCAACATGTCTCATCCTGTTTTGTTTTTGTTTTTTTAATTGATTTTGAAGGAGAGAGAGGAAGAGAGGAGAAGGGGAGAGAAACACTGCCATGAGAGAGCACATAGATTGGCCACCTCTTACACGCCCCTGACTGGGGATCAAACCCACAACCCAGGAATATGCCCTGACTGGAAATGGAACTGGCAACCTTTTGGTGCACAGGATGATGCCCAAACAACTGAGCCACATAGGTCTTACCATCTGGCAAAAATATTCCAGGCTCATTTACACTTTTCAGTCCTAGCCAGGCCAGAGTGGCTCAGCTGGTTGAGTGTCATCTAGTGTGCCTAAAGATGGCCAGTTCCATTTGGGGTCAGGGCACATACCTGGAATGAGTTCAAAAGGCAACCGGTCAATGTTTCTCACAACGATGTGTCTTTTTCTTCTTTCTCTCTTTTCCTCTCTCTAAACATGTCTTCAGGTGAGGATTTTTAAAAATAATAAAAATAACCTGACTGGTGTGGCTCAGCGGGTGGGGAATTGTCCCATGCACCAAGGGGCCATCAGTTCAATTCCCGGTCAGAGCACATGCCCAGGTTGCAGGTTTGATCACAAGAAGGGGGTGAGCAGGTGGCAGCCAATTGATATTGATGTTTCTCTCTCTCTCCAAAAAATATGAGTGATAAAAACATAGTAAAGAAATTTTTAAAAATATTTTTTACAAAATTTTAATAATAAATAAGTATAATTTTTTAAAAACTTTTCAGTCCTAGAATCAACTACTTCTCCAAAATGTCCTGGTTTCTTTTATTGGAAATGCTGTTTTGAAACAAAAATCTGGTCACTAGATGAGCCCACCATTCTTGAGGCATCGCTGCTTCTAGGTGGAAAGGACTATGAAATACATGTATGCATATGAACCCACACATATTCATACTTCTCTGTCTAAATTAAATACTATGCAATTCATACTGACATCTCCCAATTCAACACAACAGCATTCATTTTAATTTTAGCCTTGCTCCATTCATTGTCCAAAAATAAGAAACCTGGGTCTCATTATCTATATTTACTCATTTGTTCATTTTTTAAAGTATATACATTTGTTCTCAATAAAAACATAAAGACCTGATCAAAGAGAAAACATGCATATACAAAGTAGTTTCAAAATTGTTAACCCATTGACTCAGTAAGAAACACATATACCAACTACATTATATTTTTCTTTTTGTCACTGAACTATAGTATCCAGTTAAGATACTGTTTTCCAAAGTTATTTAGATTCCTTATTTTCTTCCCCTTGTGCTTTCAATATGAAAATATTCTCCACTTGTAATATAGTTAGGTACATCTGTTATGTTTGTATCCTATTTTGGGTTCTCCTACATTCTCTTTGTTTTAATTATTTTTTCAGCACATGAAGGGTAGGGTACTAATTTTAAAAGCCCAGCTGTTCAACCATGGATAGGCCTTGAGGATATTATGCTAAGTGAAGTAAGTGTGTGTATACATATATACATATATTACATATACACACACACAATATATAATTATTACTTGATCATAAAAGAACAAAATCTTACCATTTTACAACAGCATTGATGGATCTAGAGGGTATTATGCTAGTGAAAAGTCAGTCAAAGACAAATACCATATGATTTCACTTATATGTGGAAACTAAAGAATAAAATTCAAAGATTCATAGATACAGAGAACCGACTGATAATTGCCAGAGGGGAGGGGTGCTGAGAAACTGGGTAAAAAAGGTGAAGGGATTAAGAGGTACAAACTGGTAGTTACAAAACACTCATTGGGCCCTGGCCAATGTGGCTCAGTTGGTTAGAGCATCATCTGTGTACCACAGGGTCACAGGTTTGATTCCCAGGCAGGGCATATACATAGGTAACAGGTTTGATCTCCATTGGGGTTATACTGGAGGCAACCAATGGATATTACTCTCTTTTGGTCCCTCTCTTTCACTCCCTATAAAATCAAAAGCATATCCTTGGGCAAGCTTTAAAAAAAAAAAAAAAATAGTCATGATGTAAAATAGAGCATAAGGAATATAGTCAATAATACAGTAATAACTAATTATAGCGCAAGGTGGGTATTGAAAAACTACTACTATGGTATAATGAATGAGTTCGAATTGAAAAATAAAAAGCCTAGCCGTGGCCAGTTTGGGTCAGTGGTTATGGCATTGAGCGTTGGCCCATGGATCAAGTTGTGGGTTCAATTCTGATCAAGGACACAGGCTTCCTTTGCAGTTTGGTCCCGGGCCCTGGTCAGGGTCATGCAGGAGGCAACAGACTGATGTGTCTCTCTTCTCACATTGATGTTTCTCTCTCTCTCTCTCTCTCTCTCCCCCCCTCCCACTCTATCTGAAGATAAATGGTAAAATATCCTCGGGTGGGGATTAAAAAAAAAAAAAGCCTAGCTGTCAAGTACATTCAAACCTGGGTTCTTGAACTTCTCCCATCTTGAACAGTTCTGTTCTGGAACAAGCTTTTCAAGAAAAAAATGTCTCAAATGTCTCAAAATGTCTGGGTTAACTGGTTCTTGACCTGACAATCCTTTGAAGCTGCTCTATCAGCATGACAAAGTGTCTCTCAGGCCACAAAGGAGAGAATGCATCAGTATGAGTCAGTTTACAGTTAAACCTTGTTTTGTTAACATCTCAGGAACTTGTGCTGTGAATACTTTTTTGGTGTGATTTTTTCTTAGGTTGGTGGAACATAAGCACAATTTTTTTTTTTTTTTATCCTCACCTGAGGACATTTTTTGATATTTTGTTCAGATAGAGTGGGGGGGGGGGGGGAGAGAGAGAGAGAGAGAAACATCAATGTGAAAGGGACACACTGAGTGGCTGCCACCCACACAACCCAACCAGGGCCGGGGACACACTGCAACCGAGGTACGTGCCCCTAGCGGGAACCGAACCTGGGTCTCTCCGGACCACAGGTCGACGCTCTAACCGCTGAGCCAAACCGGCTAGGGCCACAATTTTAAAACATAAAGAGGCCATCAAGAGTGCTAACGTTGCTCTGGCCAGTTAGAGCATAGGCCTGCTGACAGAAGGGTCTTGGGTTCGATTCCAGCCAAGGGCAGGTACCTGGGTTGCAAGTTCCAGGGCACCAGTGGGGGCATGCTGGAGGCAACCCATCGGTTTGTGTTTCTCTCTTTCCCTCCCTCCATCCCTTGCACACTCTCAAAAAAAAAAAAAAAAAAAAAAGAGTGCTAATGCTGCCCTGGGAGGTGTGGCTCAATTGGATGGCCATCTTCCAGTGCAGCGAAAGTTTGTATTTTTAGCCAATCAGGGTACACACCCAGGTTGTGGGCTCCATCCCCAGTAGGAGGCATGCAGGAGACTACCTATCTGTGTTTCGCTCTCCCTTTCTTCCTTTCTCTCTAAAAATCAATTAAAATCTTAAAGAAAAAATTGTGCTAATGTCGCTAAGGGAGTGAAAGAAACAATGATCACAGGCAATTGAAGAGGAAGAAAAACTGTTGTTGATTTAAATAAACAAAAAGCAGTTAGCCAGTGACAGCAGTTCAAGGCAATGATATGTGAAAAAGTGAAGATTTCCCCATGCTGACCTCCGGAAAGACACCCTGGAAAGAGAGCTAAAAGTGATTCCTTTAAAGCTGGTAGGGGATGGTTCAATAAACTTAAGAAAAGAAGTATTTGTTTATAGATTAAATAATACATTAGACATGTACTGTATACAAAAAGTTAAAACAGGGAATCATTTGCGGTCTGGAACTAATTAATTCAATTTAAATTATTTCTAATGGGACAAAATAGGATTTGGTTGTCTAATAATAATTGCTTCTAGTACAGCCTTCCAGAAGAAGTTGAGTTGGAGAACTGAGGTTTCACTGCATAAATGTAAGAGAAAGTTAAATTCAGATATGGTTTTTGTTATAGAAGGGGAGGTTTCTCTTTCTTTGTAAAAGTAGAAAAGATGTGAACATACTTACATAAAACGAAAAAAAAGAAATACATTAAGACCCAGAACAAAGGTCCCTCATGTAAAAAGTTCACACGAGGAACTATATACAATAGTGACTCTGAAACTTTAGAGTATACTAGAATCACCTAAATAATCTGTTAAAGCTCTGCCCCTATAGTTTATGAGGAATGTTTTCAGACTTTCTAACAATTCCCAGGTTAGAATGCTGATGATCCCTATCGAAGACCACAATTTGAGAATTAAGTAGGTTTGAGTAAAATCAGAGTAGTTTCAAGATGGGTACATATATACAAATCAGGTACAAAGTTGGAAAAATAAACTAAAATATCCGAATACTACCTATCTCAACTGTGAAGACACTTCACACTCATTCACGGTTTTTTACTTTCTTCTTTATTTTTTATTTCCCATAAGGACCTTACTTCCTATATAAGAACTTACTACTGTTACAGCACTTTCAAAAACAATTTTTAAGTTTGCTTTTATCTTTCATAGTTTCGTTCATAACATTTCCTAATTATTATGATTTCTGAAATTTGTAAGAGTAACATTTATCTCATTATATTTCACAATTAAATATTACAGGTACATGGAAAGCTGATTCAGAAGCACAAAGATAAAGGAATTCATAGCAGTGTTATACACAGAAAAAAAATTAAACCTGAAAGATGCAGTAAATCATAGTGCATTCTTACAATAAATTATATGCAATAATGTCAAGGCCCCATATATGTACGGTCACAATGTATGCAAAGTGTCAATAACCAGCTAAAAAAACCATAAGAATAACAAAAAGTTGTGCTACTTTGTGGAATAGTTCGCTAAGTATAATAAAAAATGGACAAATTTGTTTGTATCTTCCAACTTGTACAATTTGTTTACAATAAGACAGTGAAGTTTATTAGTAACACACAAAAACTATATGTATTCACATCTATGTTACAATTTTTTTTTTTACCTCAATTGTATTTGCTTCCGTTTTTGCAGCTCTTGATTTCTGAGCTCTTCCAGGCGTCTGAGTTCTTCTTGACGCCTCATTAAATCTATAAAATATTGATTAACCATTAGTATTTTAGCTTCCTTTGTGTGTGTGTGAGTGTGTGTGTGTTTGTTTTCTTAAATACACACCCGAAGATATTTTTCCATTGATTTTTTCCAGATAGAGTGGGAGATCAGGAGGGAGGGAGGAACACCAATGTGAGACACACACATCGATTGGTCATCTCCTGCACAGGAGGGGAATTGAACCCACAACAGAGATATGTGCCCTTGACTGGGAATCAAACCATGACTCTCTGGTCCTCAGGCCAACATTCTAACCACTGAGCCAAACCAGACAGGGCTCCCTTGTGTATTTTTATATCAAGAAGCATATAAACTCTCTATTACTGGCACTATACATAGTATTTGATACACATTCAAATACCTAGTGTCTCTTCATCTATTATATCATCTTATAATAAAAGATTATAAGCTGTGTAATTAATCAAATTAATATGTTTAGGGGTCTATTTCTTCATGTGTATAAGGAGAAAAATAAAATTCATCCATTTCTTCAGAAATTCTTATAGGCAATTTTTTAAAATGTGGGGACTAAAACACACTAAAGACAGAATAAATGATAGCTGTATTTTCACTTACATCTTTTAAACAAATTAGAGCCATGGCCAGTGTGGTTCAGGGGTTAGAGTGTCGGGCCATGCACCAAAGGTTCATGGGTTCAATTCCCAGTCAAGGACACATAATCTGGACTGCAGGTTCAATCCCCAGCCCCAGTCAGGATCATTCAGAAAACAACCAATATGTCTCTGTCAAATCCATGATTCTTTCTCTGCCACCTCTCTCTCTCTCTCTCTCTCTCTCTCTCTCTCTCTTACTTTCTCCCTCCTACTCATTCTAAAAGTCAATGGAAAAATATCCTTCGGTGAGGATTAACAAAAAACAGACAAAAAAATAAATTAGAATTTTACTGCAGTTAAGTGCAAAGCCCAAAAATACACCTTGGGAGACAGCAGAAGAAGGCATGTAGGAACCAGACCAGACAAACAGTAGGAATAGCAGTAGGACACTGCATAAAGCCCAAAATACATCCTTCCAAACACCATGAATGTAAAATTCCTCCTATACTAAGTCAGTGTCTTATGAAAGAGAGCAATGAGGAAAGAATTCCTGAAAGAGGAAAAAGGCTGAATACTAAGATGAACAAGGTGTGTGTGTGTGTGTGTGTGTGTGTGTGTGTGCACAAGCACGCTTACTGCTTTCTTAGAGAGGAAGGGAGAGATAGAAACATGAATGTGAGAGAGAAACACTAATCGACTGCCTCCTTCTCTCCCCCTACTGGGGATCAAGCCCACCACCTGGGCATCAAACCAGGACCTCTCAGTCCATGGGTCACTTGAAGCCGGGCGAACAAAATATTTTTTTTTAAATCCTCTCCCAAGAAAAGAGAGAGAAACATCGACATGAAAGGAACACATTGAGTGGCTGCCACCCACACGACCCAACCAGGGCCAGGGACAAACTGCAACTGAGGTACACACCCTTAGCAGGAACCAAACCTGGATCTCTCTGGACCGCAGGCCAATGCTCTAACCGCTGAGCAAAACCGGCCAGGGCTCGAGTTCAATTCTTGGTCAGGGGCACGTAGCTGGGCTGCAGGTTCAATCCCCTGCCCCCAGTCAGGGTCATGGGGGAGGCAATCAACCTATGTGTCTCTCTCACATTGCTGTTTCTCTCTCTCTCCTTCCTTCCCTTATACTCTATCTAAAAATCAATGGAAAAATATCCTCGGTTAGGATTAACAAAATAATAAAAATCAGCTCAAAGGAATAGACAATCCAAATATAAGATACGCATCTTATCCAATACCAAATGGGAGCAACATCAACTTAAAACTACCATTTTACATTTACTAAATTATTTCTATTTATAAAATTGATTTTAGAGAGCAAGTAGGTTGGGGTGGGGGGGAACATCATCGATTTGTTGTTCCCCTCATTTATAGATTCATTGGTTGATCCTTTAACGTGCCCTGACTAGGAATCTAACACACAACCTTGGTGTATCAGTACGACAGTCTAGTCAAATGCACTATCTGAGTAGAACCTAAAGTATTTAAGTTTTTGTTATTATTCAAAGTTTCTAAAATGTCACTAAAGTGTATATATCTGTACTCTGCCACAGTAATACCTTCTGGGGGTGAATAATTACCAAAAGTATATATAACTGGGTAAGTTTTCATTCTTTGATCCAGTAAAATATACACTTATAAAAATTCTTCTTAAAAATATAACCCTAACGGCCCTGGCCAATTTGGCTCAGCGGTTAAGGAACAATGAGTTGCGAGTTCGATTCCAGCCAAGGGCAGGTACCTCAGCTGCAGTTCATCTCCGACTCTGGTCAGGGTCATGTGGGAGGCAATCTACTGATGTGTCCCTCTCACGTCAATTTCTACTGATGTGTCCCTCTCACGTTTGTTTCTCTCTCCCTCCCTCGCACCCTCCCACTCTATCTGAAGATAACAGAAAAATATCCTCCTGTAAGGATTAAAAAATAATAATATGCCCGGGCCAGTTTTGCTCAGCGGTTAGAGCGTCGGCTCGCAGACCAGAGAGGCCCGGGATAGGTTCATGCTAAGGGCATGTGCCTCAGTTGCAGTTTGTGCCCGGCCCCAGTTGAGGTTGTGTGGGTGTCAACCACTCAATGTATCTCTCTCACGTCCATCTTTCTCTGTCTCTCTTCCTCCTATTCTATCTCAAGATAAATGCAAAAATGTCCTCGGGTAAAAATAAAAAAATAATACTAGCAATAAAATAACCCAAGGGTATCCATAGACATAAAAGACATTAAAAAATCCTCAGCCAAAAATCCATTTATTTTCAGACAGCATGGGAGGGAGATAAAAGAGACAGAAACATCTGTGTGAGAGAAACACATCGACTGTTTGCCTCCTGCACAACCCCTACCTACGACAGGAGACCAAAACGCCACCGAGGTACGTGCCTTAACTGGAATTGAACCCGTGACTCTTTGGTCTGGGGGACCGACACATTAACCACTGAGCAAACCAGCCAGGGCCGAAATAACATTTCTGAATGCTTACCTAACAAATTTAATAAGAGAACATAAAGTTGTACTATTAATACTATCATTTCAATATATCATAAATACAGGTACAAAGCAGAAGGGAACAGAGGAGGAGCCCAGCCAGTGTGGCTCAGTGGACGGTGCATCATCCCACAGACAGTTTGATTCCCAGTCAGGGCATATGCCTGGGTTGTGGGCTTGATCTCCAGTAGGGAGCATGTAAGAGGCAGCCAAACAATATTTCTCTCTCTTAAAAAAAAAATAAAAATAAAAAAATCAATAAAAACGTATTTTTTAAAAAAGGGAACAGAGGGGAATACAAATTTAAAGTATGATTTACTAAACTGCAATAAAGTGTTTTCCCAATTTAATGTTCTACAACTCATGAAAACTGAATGTATCTTCTCTGAACTAATAAGTTCTAGAAATACAAGAATTGAATCTACAGATTTTTTTTTGCTACTTTCCCCTAGCAGGAATCGAACCGATGTTCCAACTACTAAGCCAAACTGGCCAGGGCTGCATCTACAGAATGAAAGTATGTATCTATTCCCAAGGAAAGGCTGAAATATTATGGTGCACAACAAAATATATCTTGAATACAAGAATGGACAGGTGGACAGATATAATAAAGCAAGTATAGTAAAATGTTAACAACAGAATCTAAATAGTGAACACATTATATCCTTTGAAGATTTTTGAAGACTTTTTGTAACAAATTTGGGGGGGGGTGCATATCCTGGACAAGTTACGAGACTTTAAAAGGAAAAAATTCATATAGAAGCTTGGCAAAAGGATCAAGTCACTCAAGGGGGAAGACAAAACCAGGTTTATTTCAGATTTCCCCCAGAAACATTCAATGCTAGAAGATGAGACATGCTATCAAATACTTAAGAAAGAAATGGGGGAGGGGAATCCATGAATTTTTACCATTCAAGTGCCAGCTTAAACTATTAAGAATCACAGAGTACTTTAGAACATGTGAGAACTCCAGGAATGTTGTTTCTATAAACCTTCTTTTAAAAAATTATGAGGATTACTATGGCCAATGTGGCCCAGAGGTTAGAGCATCAGCCCTCTGACCAAAGAGTCCCAGGTCGAATCCCAGTCAAGGGCACATACCTGGGCTGTAGGTTCAATCACTGGCTCTGGTGAGTGTTGCTGGAGGCAGCCAATCAATGTCTGTCTCACATCAATGTTTCTTTCTTTATTTCTCTCTCTCTCTCTCTCTCTCTCTCTTCCTCCCTCCCTCCCTCTCTTCTCCCTTCCACTCTACAATTTAAAAAAAAAAAAAAAAAAAAAATCAATGAAAAAATATCTTTGGGTGAGGATTAAAAAAATTTTTATGAGGATAAACATCAGACATTCAAGTGATAAACAGAAATGACATTACTCAAGCTATTTACTTTTTTATTTAATCCTCACCTGAGGACATTTTTGCATTTATCTTCAGATAGAGCGGGAGGGAGAGAGGGAGGAAGAGAAAGAGAGAAACATAGATGTGAGAGAGACACATTTACTGCCACCCACACGACCCGAACCGAGGCCAGGGACAAACTGCAACTGAGGTACATGCCCTTAGCGGGAACTGAACACGGGAGTCTCTGGTCCACAGGCTGATGCTCTAACCACTGAGCTAAACCAGCCAGGGCTGCTCAACCTATTTAAAACAAAGTTAAGATTTAAACACATATGAGGATTCTTGTTAAAGAACATGAAAACAGAATACTGAAGAAACAGTTGCATTTCCACATTCATTGCAGCATTACTCACACTAGCCAATATATGAAAAAAAACCTAAGGTCTGTCAACGGATGACTGGATCAAGAAGACATGGTCTAGGGGGCATAAATGCTAACGAAAGATGTGATTTGGGGTAGTGAACACACAATGCAAATACAGATGATGTATTATAGAACTGTATCCCTGAAAACTATAATTTATTAACTGTCACCCAATAAATTCAATAATATATATCTATATATAAAAGATGTGCTGTATTATGACATATTTTAAAAATGAATTTCTATTTTTTTTAGAGAGAGAGGAATGGAGAGAGAAAGAAACACTGATCTGCTGCCTGCAGCATGCCCCCTACTGGGGATCAAGCCTGCAACCCAGACATGTGCCCTGACTGGGAATCAAACCAGTGAGCTTTTGGTGGACAGGTTGATACTCAACCAAGCCACACTGGCCAGAGCAATCATAGCAAATTTTTATAGATGTTGATGTTCTGCCATTTGAAACAACATAGATGAAAATTTAGGACATTATGATCAGTGAAAAAAAGCTAGACAAAAACAAACACTATGCATTATCACTTGCATCTGGAATCTAAACAGATTCAAACTCATAGAAACAATAGAGTAGAAAAGTGGTTGCCATGCACTGGGAGGGGGAAATAGGGAGAAGTTGATAAAAGGGTACAAGATTTAAGCTAAAAGATGAGTAAGGTCTACAGATCTAATGCATAACATGGTGAATATAGTTGATAACACTGTATTACATAACTGAAAGCTGCTTAAAGAAAGCAGAACTCATATGTTCTCACACACACATAAAAAAGATAAATAAGCCAGCTTTATAAATTTTAAAAATTAAGTCAATGTCATAAATCCAGAAAAACTGGAATCAAAATAAATAAAAGTGAAGAGGAAAAGAGAAAGGAGGAGGAGCTGAATATGACTATTTCCTTGTTCTTTTTTCCTCTGGTAACCAGGAACCAAAAGATATCATTTAAAGGAAATAAATATACTTCCATTACTCGATTTATGAATACAAAGGCATTCATAAGTAATAATAATATAGTAAAAAAAAAAAAAACCCCAGTGCTATAGGGCTGCAGAATAGCAAAATGCATGGCAGAGTTAAAGTTACCCAGAGTTACATAATTATGTAACAAAGGAAACACAAAAATAACCATGAAGAAAACTCTGAACTGCCTATTATACTTACAATCAAACACAGATACAAAAGGAAAAACATAACCTGCACTGAGTATAAAGGGATTTGATCTACAAAGGACTAAATAAACATCAATAAAGTATAAATGAAGCAATTATTAAAAGTACCAGCGTGTCACACTGGCCCATGCAGCTCCCTTCCACTAGCACTAAAAATCTATGGAAAAAATATCCTCGGATAAGGATTAACAAAACAAAACAAAAAGAAAAGTACTGCCCTGGCTGGTTTGGCTCAGCGGTTAGAGCGTCGGCCCGCAGACCAGAGAACCCCGGGTTCAGTTCCCGCTAAGGGCACATACCTTGGTTGCAGTTTGTCCCTGGCCCCACTTGGGGTTGTGCAGGAGGCAGCCACTCAATGTGACCTTTTCACATTGATGTTTTTCTCTCTCTCTCTCTCTCTCTCTCTCTCTCTCTCTGTCTCTCACTTCCTCTCCCTCCCTCCCACTTCCTCTCCCTCCCTCCCACTCTATCCAAACAAAAATGGGAAAATGTCCTGCGGTGAGGATAAGGGGGGGAAAAAAACAAACAAACAGAAGATGCCCTGGCCGGTTTGGCTTAGCGGTTAGAGCATCGGTCTGTGGTCCCGAGAGACCCGGGTTCGTTTCCTGCCAAGGGCATGTACCTCAGTTGCAGTTTGTCCCCGGCTCTGGTTGGTCATGTGGGTGGCAGCCACATGATGTGTCCCTTTCACATCGATGTTTCTCTCTCTCTCTCTCTCTCTTCCTCTCTCTCCCTCCCACTCTACCTGAACAAAAAAAATGGAAAAAATGTCCTCGGGTGAGGATAAAAAAAAAACAGAAGAAACCGTGTTTCTCACAGAAAACAGAAGGTGGGATAGTAAGGGAGACGGGACTCTTTCTATACTGTTTGAGCTTTCTCCGTCCTATGTTTCAGCAGAACCACAAAGCTAAGAATACCTCAAGTCTTCCCCCACCTGAACACACCCTTAGAAATGCTACAAAAAATATATAACATATGTTGAACAAAAAATCTCTAAATTTTTAAACAAATTAACACTGAAACAAATGTATCACCTGCAGACTTTTAATGAAATAAACACAAGATGTACTTTAGCAGAAGAAAACCCAGAAGCAGACTGAAAAACACCAAGGAAATACATTTCTAATTATAAACCAAAATATTCACAGCAGTTATAAATAAACACCCCACAAAAACAAAAGCAATAAAATAAAAGCTCTTGAGAAATAACTGCAAAATTACTCTCCTTCCGAAGTCAAAATGCCTTTAGGAGCAAGGCAAAGTTTTCTAAGAGCTCACAAGAACTCTATGAAGCCTAAAAATATATGTATTGTTCTTTGTCATCACTCTATCCTTAGTACCTCAGACAGCATCTCCTACAACTAACATTAAATTCATGCTGAAGTAGCCCTGGCCGGAGCGTCAGCAGGTTCGATTCCAGTCAAGGGCACGTACTTCGATTGCTATTCATCCCAGGCCCTGGTTGGGGTCATGCGGCAGGCAGCCACTCAATGTGTCCCTTTCACACAGATGTTTCTCTCTCTCTCTCTCCCCCTCTCCCTCTCTCTCTTCCTCTCTTCCTCTCTCTCTTCCTCCCACTCTATCTGAATAAAAAAAAAAAAAAAACAGAAAAAATGTCCTCCGGTGAGAATAAAAAAAAAAAAATTCATGCTGAAGTAATGACTTATGCTATCATATTAGCAACAAAATATATTTTAATGTTTTCACTTGTTATTTACTAGCCATGTCATGACTGTAGATGTGGGAAAATAAAATGGCAAATGGCCTAACTAAGTCTATGAGCAGAGAACAATTTATATTGGACGGAAGTGCTAGGGCCTAGGAGACAAGTTGTATAAATTTCCCAGTTGATTCTGATGTGTAACCAAATTTTAAAACCACAAAACCACAAGACTAGATGAACTTGAAGCTGTCTCTTCCTGCTCTAACCAGTCAATGATTCTTGATTTTTATCTTAGATAATAAGGTTCAAATTTTCTGCAAGAAACATTATCTTTAAACATACTAAATGAGCCCAGCCAGTGTGGCTCAGTGGGTTGAGTATCATCTATGGACTGAGATGTCCCAGTTCAACTCCCAGTCAGGGTACATGCCCAGGTTGCCAGCTGGATTCAGTGGGGTACGTGCAGGAGGCAGCGGATTGATGTGTCTCTCTTACACTCCTTTCCTGTCTCTCTCTCTCCCTTCCTCAAAATCAATAAAAACATAATTAAAAAAAAAAAAAAAGAAACCTAGAATAAGAAAAGGAGACAAGCTTCTGATATAGATTTAAACAGCTTGTCATGTTGTTAGGTAAATGTAAGAATATACTATCACCTGTTATGACTGTTCTTAGAAATTCAGTTAGCTCAGTCTCAAGTGTTTAAAACGTTCTTGCCAATTACTAATTCAATTTTCCTGAATCACCATACTCACTAGCACGCATGAATCTTTATCTCTGACAAAGAATATCTATTTGTAATCTTTTGACGTGGTAATAATCTTAAATAGCCAGCATTTGTCCTAATTCTTTCCAAATAAAAAATCTTCATGTCTGACTTAATGCCATTATCTACATATCAAAAATTACCTGTTGTGCTGCTTGTTTTGGCGAGCAGAATCATGTACTTGCTAAGGGCAAAATGTAATTACCTCCAACAACACTACTTGTGTAGGGAAAACTTTTTTTTAAATGGACGTTCTCTTGGAAAAGGGACAATCTTGTTTCTAATATGTTGAGTTCCACCTGACTCTAAACTCCTAACTGGCAACTTTAATAGTAACAGATGTCAGTGGGAACTATGAATAAACCTTAAGGGAAAAATAAAATCATAACCCACCTACATGAGCCCACCTTACCTTGTCTCATCAGCATTAACTGGTGTTCATGCCTGGCTGCTTCCATTTCTGCCTCCAGCTTCTCTTTGGCTTCTCTGATGTTTCTGTCAACCTGCTCACGCTGCTGCTTCTCCATTTCGTCAAGAGCCTTCCATCTAGATGCATACTCAAATTCAAATGTTCCAGGCTGAGCAAAACGTGGTGGCTGTTCTCTTTCCCTAAGTTTACATTTAAAAACATACAGAAAAGTATGTTTAAAAGGTGAAACGAGACTACCATTTCCTGAGCAATTACAATCTTCATGGCAGTGTCAAGCAAGTCCTCTACATGAATTGCCTCAGGACAATACTCTGAGGCTGATTTTAACACACCTGAGTTTGAGAAACTGCCCAAGGATGCCCAACTAATAAGTAATGGAACAGAAAATTCAAACCTAGGCAATGGGATACTACAGCCTGCACTCCCCTAATTATCACCTCTGAATGGCCTTCCCGGTATTTCAACAAACAAGTTTACATAATGCAATCTGCAATATATGAATCAAATGTACCCTAAATTAATTGTCTGGAATAAATATTTTTCTGATAGTAGTAAAAGCAGATTAAGAGTTAATCAAATTTGCCCTGGCCGGTTTGGCTCAGCGGTTAGAGCGTCGGCCTGCGGTCCTGAGAGACCCGGGTTCGGTTCCCGCTAAGGGCGCGTGCCTCGGTTGCAGTTTGTCCCCAGCCCTGGTCGGTTGTGCGGGTGGCAGCCACTCGATGTGTTCCTTTCACATCGATGTTTTTCTCTCTCTCTCTGTTCCTCTCTTTCCCTCCCACTCTACCTGAACAAAAAATGGGAAAATGTCCTCGAGTGAGGATAAAAAAAAAAGAGTTTATCAAATTTGCCCTGGCCAGTTTGGCTCAGCAGTTGGAGCGTCAGTCTGCGGACCAGAGAGTCCCAAGTTCGGTTCCTGCTGAGGGCATGTACCTTGGTTGCAGTTTGTCCCTGGGGTCCTGTGGGTGGCAACCAGCTGATGTGTCTCTCTAGCATCAATGTTTCTCTCTCTTCCCCCGTCTCTCCCTCCTGCTCTATCTGAAGATAAATGCAAAAATGTCCTCGGGTGAAGATAAAAATAAAAAAGTTTATTAAATTTTATGTGCCAGGTTAATTAGCTAGGCCAAAAAATAAATATCTAACTTACTACAACTGCAGTTATTTGTTCAATACTTCTTTTCCTTGCTATACTATAAACTCAATAAGGACATGAAATGTCTATTAACAGCTGCACCTCAAGTACCCACCACTGGATCTGGCACATTGCATACATTTATTGTTTACTAAATAAATGATGAGCAAATTACCTAAATTTAAAAAAGAGAACATCCTATGAATATACCTGAAATTCAAATAAATTCTTCAATTATATTTGCCTGTCACAGTTTCTATTTACAAGTACTGATAAGGCCCTGGCTGGTTTGGCTCAGCAGTAGAGTGTTGGCCCACGGACCAACGAATCACAGGTTCGATTCCAGGGAAGGGCAGGTACCTCAGTTGCGGTTCATCCCCCGCCCTAGTCAGGATCATGCAGGAGGCACCTAACTCAATGTATCCCTTTCACATCAATGTTTCTCTCTCTCTGTCTCTCTCTCTCCCTCTCCCCCCGCCCCTCCCACTCTATCTGAACACAAGTAAAAAAAAGTCCTCGGGAGAGGATAAAAATAAAAATAATACCATCCCCACCCCACCAATAGAAGTATATAGAAGCCTCGCATTCATAAATTTTAACTTCTATTAGGAGGTGGGAAGGAGAAGATGGGTGGGTGGCTGGGAGGGAAAGGGAGAGAAACATCGATTTGAGAGACACATTGACTGGTTGCCTCCCATACAACCTGACCAGGGCCGGCATGAACCACAACCATGGTACATGCCCTTGACAGGAATCAAACCCTGGACTCACTGGTCTGTGGGTGGATGCTCCAACTGCTGAGCCAAACTGGCCAGAGCTGAATTTTGTTCTTTTTAAAGCACTGTCTGGGAAAGGAATAGGGAGATCTACCACCCACTAATTTTTCTGAAAGACTTATTAGTCAGTAGTTCCTAAGTCAGTCACTGGCTATAATAATATTAAAAATTCTTCTCCCAAAGTAAACACTTTTGAAACAGTATGGATTTGGGGAGTTAGAAATAAATTTGAGTGGTGGCTCTTATACTTTATGAACATTTCCTTCTGGGCATAACTCTTTAGTGGTCAAATTTGGAATATAACAAGATCTTACAGGTTTGCTGGGATAACTAAATCACTATATAAACAAATATTGTCTATAAATTCCTTTTCATATAGCACCCTTATAATTCCAGTCTTCTGATTCCTGAATCTAAAACATACACTATTTCAAATTTGTAGGGATAATCAATAACCAGAAAAAAGTTCAAGAGAACAGTAACTCTTTGAAAAATAGCATTGTAAGAGAGACTTAAATAGTTACAAATTACAATTAATTACCACTGATCCTTATTCCCTGGAATAACATTTTCTCATTGCTTCTAGGATACACCTAAGGCTCCTAAACTTATCTCCCCAATTCTACCTTTAGTTCTTTATAATCTACTCTTAAAACAGAGCCAAAAATTTCCTGTTAAACTTAAGATTAAGTTACTACTTTGCTCCTTCCTTTCATAAAATACAAAAGCCAAAAAGTCAAGTCAGCTAAACAGCCTGTAAGGCCTAACAATCTGCACTCCTCCCAATATGTCCTCTCTCTACTTCATCCATGCTATTTCCCCCTTACTTATTATGCTCCAGCTGAACCAACCTCTTTACTGTTCCTGGAACATGCTAAAAAGAGAGTCTTCTTTCAGGGCTGTTACACTTACTATTCCATTTGTTGACACCATCATCCTTTACTCCATCCCACTTCCGCGAGCTGCATGGACACCTTCCCCCCGATGCCCTTTTAGGTTGTCACCTTCAAATATCACCGCCTTGAGTAGGCTTTCCGAACATCGTGTAAAAGAGCCAAACTCACCCAGCCGGTGTGGCTCAGTGGTTGAGCATCGACCCATGCACCAAGAGGTCACTAGTTTGATTCCCAGTGAGGGGTACATGCCCAGGTTGTGGGCCAAATCCCCAGTTAGGGGCAGGCAGTAGGTGGCCAATCGATGTTCTCTCGCATCAATGTTTCTATCTCTCACTCTCCCTTCCTTTCTCTCTAAAATCAATAAAGAAAAAAAAAAAACAAAAAAAAAAACACACTCGCACTGACATTGGCTCAGTTGCTTGGTTATTGTTCCATGCACGAAAAGGTTGCTGGTTTAATTCCCAATCAGGGCAAATGCCTGGGTTTTGGGCTCAATCCTCAGAAAGGGTTGGGCAGCAAGCAGCACACTTCATTCACATTGATGTCTCTCTCTCCTCCTCCCTCTATCTAAAAATGTTTTTAAAAAAAATTTTTAAAGAAAAAAAGGGCCCTGGCTGGTGTTGCTGAGTGGTTAGAGAATAGGTCCACACAACAAAGGGTTGCAGGTTTGATTCCAGGTAAAGAGCACATACCTGGGATGCAGGTTTGCTCCCTAGCCCCAGTCTGGGTGCTGAGAGAGACAACCAGTCAATAGGTCTCTGTAACATTGATGGTCCTGTATCTCGTCCTCTCAACACTCCCCACCCCACCCAATCCCCGGGCTCCATCCACTCTCTAAAAATCAATCAAATATCCTTGGGTGAAAATTAATAAAACAAAGAGCCACACTCCTCCACTGCCCAAGATTCACTTTCCCCAGTCTTTTCATCATATCTGTTTTACTTATATTATTATTTACCCACTATACCACCTCACATAGCATGCATTTTTAGTCTACTTTGTTCTGATACATCTTCAACACTATGCGTATAGCAAGCACTACTATTTATCATTTGAATCAAATTAAAGGAAAAACAATCAATTACACTAAAATCAAAGAATGCTAATTAAAATAACATGCATAAAAAATCATTTTGTGCCCTAGCCAGTTTGGCTCAGCGGTTAGAGCTTTGATCTGCAGAATGAAGGCGCTCAAGTCTGATTCACAGTCAAGGGCATGAACCTGGGATGCAGGCTTGATCCCCAGTTGGGGTATAGAGGCATACAACCAATTGATGTGTCTCTCTCACATGGATGTTTCTCTCTCTCTCTATCTCGCTCCCTCCCACACTATAGAATAACATCAATGGAGCCCTGGCCAGTTTGGCTCAAAGGTTAGAGGGTCGCCCCATAGACCAATGAGTTGTGGGTTCAATTCTGATCAAGGGTGTGTACCTCGGTTGCAGTTCATCCCTGGCCCTGGTCGGAGTCGTGCAGGAGGCAACCAGTCCATGCGTCCCTCTCATGTTGATGTTTCTCTCTCTCCCTCTCCCTCTCCCTTCCACTCAATCTGAAGATAAATAGAAAAAAAATATATCCTCAGGTGAGGATTAAAAAAAAAAATCAATAAAAAAGTGCCCTCGAATGAGGAATAAAAAAATAATAATAATAATAATAATAATAATAATAAAAAAAATAAAGTCTGGCTGGTGTGGTTCAGTGGTTTAGCATCAACCCTTGCACCAAGAGGTCCCCGGTTCGATTCCCAGTCCTCACAAATGCCCAGGTTGTGGGCCAGATCTCCAGTGGGGGACATGCAGGAGGCGGCCAATCAATGTTCTCTCTCATCGATGTTTTCTATCTCTCTCTTCCTCTCACTTCCTCTCTAAAATCAATAAAGGAAAAAACAATTTTTTTAAAATAAATATTTTTAAAAAAACATTTTGAACATAAACTTTCAAATCTTAAAATACAGCCCTGGCTGGTATGGCTTAGTGGTAAGAGCACTGCCTTCAAACTAAAGAGTCCTGGGTCTGATTCCAGCCAAGGGCATGTACTTCGGTTGCAGTTCAACCCTGGCCCTGGCGGGGGGTTGTTGTGAGGGTGGCAACCAAACAATGTGTCTCTCTCATATCAATGTTTCTCTCTCTCTCTTCCTCCCGCTCTATCTGAAAGATTAATGTAAAAATATACTGGGAAGAGAATTAAAAACAAAAACAAATCTTAAAATCCTAACATCCATTTATCAAGATGAAAAAAAAATACTTTTATACAAACATTAATGAGTATAGATTGGTATAAAATTCCTGAAGAACCATTTGCCAGTATCAATCAACTTTATACATACTTTGATTTAAGCCTGTATACCTCACCCTGGTGGTTCTTTAAATAGTACTTCTCACTACTTAATAGATGTTTTATAATCTTCAGTTCATTATTTGTTTTAAGGGAAAGATTTTTTGTTACTTTAGGTATGTTTTTGTATTGATTTTAGAGGTAGAGGAAGGGAAAGAAAGAGAAATATTGACACGAGAAACACTGATCAGTCACCTCTCATGTGCACCCTGACCAGGGATCAAACATAAAACCTGGTATGTGCCCAAACTGGGAATCAAACTGGTGACCTTTCGGTGCACAGGACAATACTAACCAACTGAGCCACACCAGCCAGGGTATTTTTATGTTTTTTTTGTTGTTCTTATTTTCTATTCTTCAATATATTATTTATCATATATCTACACCACCAGAAATGTTAAGCATCATAAGAGCAGAAACGGTGCAAAGTTATACTGGTAGCACCTAAAACAGTGCCTGGCACAAAGGCATTCCAATTCTTTTCAATTCATGTTATAATTTTATTATAATGAATAATGAATGGTTAAAATGTATTCATGCAGACAACTTACGTAAAAAGTTGTATCATGCTGAGTGAAATGAAACTGGTAAAAGAATTTAAGTTGTGAAAATAGGCTACCCTGGCCTGTTTGGCTCAGTGGTTAGAGTATCGGCCTACGGTCCTGAGAGACCCGGGTTCGGTTCCCACTAAGGGCACGTACCTCGGTTGCAGTTTGTCCCCGGCCTTGATTGGGGTTGTGTGGGTGGCAACCAGTCAATGTGTTCTCTCACAATAATGTTTCTCTCTCTCTTCCTCCCTCTCTCCCTCCCACTCTATCTGATGATAAATGCAAAAATGTCCTCAAGTGAGGATAAAAATAAATAAATAAAATAGGCATTTTTTCTTTTTTATCTCAAACAAAAGATAAAACTGTGCCAAATTATTTATCTAGGACCTCCCCCACTCTACCTCCCAAAAAATTCTCATTTTATCTTATAATATACCTAATGCATACTAATTAAGTATCTTTATGTATCTAGATTTCATTGTTCTTCTAACATAAATATTACTGCCAGTTTCCTCCTATCTACCCAATGCCTGTCCATTATAAAAGTAGAGACTTTTATAAGTATTAAGTTAATGGTTTACCCATACACAAAGAAAACTAGCAGGCCATGTAGAACAAGTCACTCTTATAACCAGATTATATAACTGAACAGAACACCTTATAATAAAACAATACTTGAAAATAAATGTGATATAATAAATACCCTTGATGGCACATAGCTAAAATATCTTTATTAACAAAATCTTACTTATGATATTGTTGAGTTTTCTGCATTAGCTTCTCTGGCAAGCCATCTTCATCATCAAACTGCTCCATTGGCTCCACAATGACTGGACGTGGGGTCCTAGACAGGAAAAAAGACATCAATAAAGATTAATAGTATCCAGAATTAACATTTTTCTAGCAATTTTTTATAATTCTAAAATATATATTTGGAAAATGTCTCTCAAGACAAATTTCTCCTAACATATATGCTCAAAAAAATCAGTCATTTATCATTTGCTGCTCTAGAGATGACAGTAAAGTCAGACAAAGATGAATGCTTGTTTCTAAAGCAGAGTCTATTCAAGATAACAGAAAAGTAAACCAACTATGAACCTTTGTAACCACTATAATTAACCTTTACAAAATATGAAGGGGAAGAATGAGTACTTAACTCATGTTCGCATGTACCACGACCTCAAACTCTCATCTCTGCCCAACTCCCAGCCTCTAGGTCTAACCAATCTTGTTTTAAAAAGTCTTTCTAAAACCTAAAATGATACCCTAAAGATATCAGCTACGCAAAATGAAGTAAGTGGGAGTCAGACAATATAACATATTCAAGAAATAAGTTGAGGGGAACAGGGAGTCAACGAGTAGAAAATAATGTAAACTATAACTGAAAGTAATTTTTTTACTTGGCCAGTTGGTTGAAATATCTGTCATCCATGCACTAAAGGGTCACGGGTTCGATTCATGGTGAGGGCACATACCCAAGTTGAGGGTTAAATCCCTGATCAGGTATGCATACAAGAGGCAACCAATTGATGTTTCTCTCTCACAACATTGATGTTTCTCTTTCCTTTTCTTCTTCTCTCTCTCCTTCCCTACCTCTTCCCCTCTCCATTAGCGAATACAGTGCTGGTTCTCGGACCCAAGGGTCGTGGGTTTGATAACAGGTCAAGGGCACATGTCTGGACTGCAGGTTCAAACCCCAGCCCTGGTCAGGGTTGTGCAGGAGGCAACCAATCAATGTTTCTCTCTAACACTGATGTTTCTCTCTCTCCCCTGCTGCCACCGCCACCACCGCCACCACCACCACCACTATAGCTGAAGAGAAAAAATATCCTCGGGTGAGCATTTAAAAGAAAAAAAATTTAATTAAAAAAAAGTGCACATGGCCAGTATGGCTCAGTGGTAGAGTGTCTACCCATGCACCAAGAGGTAACAAGTTTGATTGCCACTCAGGGCACATGTCCAGGTTGTGGTCCCAATCCCCAGTGGGGGGCATACAGGAGGCAACCATTATATGTTCTCTTTCATTGACGATTCTATTAATCCCTCTCCCTTTCCTCTCTCTCTCTCTCTCACATCAATACAAGAATTTTAAAAAGTGGAAGATGAAAGACAGAACTTGGAAACCTTACTTCTTTACCACTTTCCTAAGTCAAATAGGAGAAAGAGAAGGACAAAAAAAAAAAAAAAAAAAAAAGGAGAGTAAGTGAAGTGGATGATATATTGAATTAAATTTCCCCTTTCCTGTAAGTAGCTCACCATGCAAGCAATAGTAAAACCTATTTAGACCTGGCAGGTAGCTCAGTTGGTTAGAGCATCGTCCCAATACCCCAAGGTTGCAGCTTTAATCCCAGGTCAGGGCATATACAAGAATCAACCAATGAATTCATAAATAAGTGAAATAACAAACTGTTATCTCTCTCTCTCAGATCAGATTAAAAAAAAAAAAATCTAGCCCAGCTGGTGGGGCTGAGCGGTTGACCGTCAACCCGTGCATCAAGAGGTCTCAGGTTTGATTCCTGGTCAGGGCACATGCCTGGTTGTGGGCCCGATCCCCAGTGGGGAACATGTAGAAGGCGGCCAATCAATGTTCTCTCTCATCGATGTTTCTGTCTCTCTCTCCCTCTCACTTTCTCTCTAAAAAAATCAATAATGAAAAAAATACTATACTGAACAAAGATGCTTTAGAGAGAAAAAAAACTACTGTTAACTTTCAAACAGCTAGAGAAATAAAGGGACTTTCTGGATTCCAAAAATATCCCTTTACAAATAAAATAAAGATCCAGAAATTAACAGAGACTTTAAAATCTGAACTGTAGGGGGGAAAGATATAAAAAAAAATCCCTGGGCTGGTAGAGACATTTTAGAGAGAAAAAGAAAAGTGGGTGTCGCCCTGGCCGGTTTGGCTCAGTGGTTAGAGCGTCCGCCTGCGGTCCGGAGAGACCCGGGTTCGGTTCCCGCTAAGGGCATGTACCTCGGTTGCAGTTTGTCCCCGGCCCTGGTCGGTTGTGGGGGTGGCAGCCACTCGATGTGTTCCTTTCACATCGATGTTTCCCTCTCTCTCTCTTCCTCTCTCTCCCTCCCACTCTATCTGTACAAAAAATGGAAAAATGTCCTCGGGTGAGGATAAAAAAAAAAAAAGAAAAGTGAGTGTCAAATACCTTGGGGTGATGGGAGACAAAGAGAATATAAAAACCTTATATTTACTGAGTGGGAACCCAAAAAAAGGGAATTTATAATTATAAGTCTGAGACAACCTCATATCCAAAATGTTAGAAACATATTGAAGAATGAGGCCCTGGCCGGTGCAGCTCAGTGCTTAAAGCATTTGCGTGAGCACTGAAGGGTTGCAAGTTCAAGTCCCATTCAAGGGCATATACCTGGATTGCAGGTTCCATCTTCTGGGGGCACATGCTCCCAATTGATGTGACTCTCTCACATAGATATCTGTAAGTCTGTCTCTCTCTCCTCCCACTCCCTCCCTTAAACTCTGTCTAAAAAAATAAAAGTGTAAGTAAATACAGCCTCAAAGAGTACATACAACTCAACAAACTATGAGAAAGTAGCTGAAAGTTCCTGAGCTCACCCAACCCATGGGAGAATGTGGTGCTTTTAATCTCTTAAAAGATTAAGGGTCGGGGAACAAAATGAAGATGCACTACATGGGCCATTACTCAATGGAAGCCATGGCAGAACCACAAACATGAAAACAGTAGTAAGACCAAATAAGAACAACACCTGAGCATAGGCTAACAAAGGCAGTAAGAAACTTCAATACCACAAGGCCACCATCTCCCAAGAGAAAAGTCAGAAAAGGTAAACTCAAGAAGAAAAATGTACTAAACAGATCATGTCCCACAGAACAAGACATTATTTGGAAGTGACAAGATTAATTTGATGAGGTAGTAAATAAAATTAGAGAATGACTACTATACTCTCAAAAAAACGTTGAATGCCATAACTATAAAATTTCAATTTTCAGCATATAAATATGGCCCACTAGACACTTTTATACACGGGGGAGGGGATTTTTACAGCCCTATGGGAGAGAGCTTGACCAATAATACATACAAATGTTATACATTTATATCTTATTCCTGATATTCCATTTATAAAACAATAAATAAGTGAGCAAAGATCAATCCACAACAACATTCATCACACTGCATAACACAGAAAGACCATGTGTGGTATTCAGGGATGTCCGCAAAAGACTGTGTCTTATTTGTTGTTTATTAGGATATATGTTATAATGTGAACATTTATGATTATATGTATCACTACCTTTATCCATTACCTTGTTTACTTCGCTTTGACTTTTATGTGTTAACAAAAGCTTTTTGAAACCTAATTTAAAATGTTTATAGGTGTAATTACTAAATTTACTCTTTACAAGTGTAGGTAATTATTAGAAAGAAAAAAAGACAAAAAGGAAACAAAGTGGTCCAGAATAATATTAAATCTGCAGTTATCTGTGGGGGTTTTTCCTCCTTACCCTGCCCCTAAATTAATCATCCTTTTTGTTGTAAAGCTAATACACGTTCCACTATAGAAAAATATGTAACAATATAGTAAGTTCAATTGAAGAGAGTATATCCGTGAAATCCCATCATTTGGGAAAAACCTCTAATCGTGTTTCATGAACATCTCTTCAGATTTACCTTTCTGCCAGATATACACAATTTTACATGGAATAACTCACCTATATGTACTCTCTTCAAACATCCTGCATTACAATATAAAATGGCACCATTTTAGATGTATGCACATACTATAATTATTTAACCATACCAGTTCATGTCCATTCAGGCATACACCATTTTGCAAAATTTTTCTTCCTTTTTTCTTTATTGATTTGAGAGAGAGAGGAAGGGGGAGATAGAAACATCAATGAGAACATCAACTGGCCACCTCCTACATGCCCCCCACACTGGGGATCGGGATAACAACCTAGGCATGTACCTTGACCAGGAATCAAACTGGCAACCTGTTGGTGCATGGGTCGACGTTCAACCACTGAACCACATCAGATGGGCTTCATTTTAGTCTTTTTAACATCATTGAGAATTAAAGAGTAATAATAATTCCTAGGATGGTGAAATATGTTTTATAATAAAGTGAAAGTAAAATCAATAGGCCCTGATAATGTTATCTTAGACTTATAAAATGACCCAATGGACCCATATGTTACTTACAAGGAAAAAAATTATTTATTCTATTTTACATTTTTTTTGTTCTTTTGAAGACCTCTAAGAAATATTAATAAAATATCAATCCTTACAAATAATTAGTACTCCTCATAAAAGTAAAAAAACTAAAATTGGACCCAACTGACAATGATGACATACCTAGAGTTAAGTGCACTTTTCTGGAAAGTAGCAATTTATTCTTCCACCACCAGCAAGTGTATCTAGAAAACTCTTGTGTTTCCAATATATAAACAAAACAAATATTAAACTGTTTTTATTAGAAATATTTTTTCTGAATCTAAAAGTAACCCCATTTAGTGGACAGACAGGTATGTGATGAAGCAAATAAAATGCTGGAAAAATTAATCATCTGAGTATAAAATAGGAAAGGTATAAACAATTAACAGAACAACAGAGCTAATAAAGCAGGCTTAAAACTGCTATCCCACAACCCTAACTGATCTAGGCTGGTTTTCTGTGCAAAATACTGTATAGCCTGTTTTATGCTGAATCTAAACCTTTTGAGTTTGTTTCTTTGTTTTTTTTGGTACGTGCCCCTAGCGGTAACTGAACCCGGGACTCTTTCGTCCGCAGGCCAACGCTCCAAACGCTGAGCCAAACAGGCCAGGGCAATGAGTTTTTTTCTTTCTGGGAGTCT